AACACTATACTGCCAATTAGACTCTGGGTTTTGGGTTTTATAGTTTCTGTAGGAAACCATGACTGTCTTTTACAATCACTCAAAATACTGTAGATCGTCACTAATTATGGTTTTGGGTTTAATAGAGTTAAAATATTACAAACATTCCAAATTTTTTAACTAGATTTTTTATACAATAGAGAAATAGTATGTGAAAGATTAATTTTTCTATGATGATTATTTACTTTATAATATATATTATCACAAGTGTTGACGATTAACCATATCTCTATTTTAATTATAAAACCCAAGAACATAGGTGTTTCATAGCGTGCAAGCTATTTATGGAAATAGTACCGTAGAAACTATTCTAGCATCGATCATAATATCTTTGACAAAGCCAGGTTGAACTAGACACTCCGATTGGTGGCAAAGTATACAAATTGCGTTCGTGTTATTCCAAATGAAAGTTCGTGCAAATGCGAAGTACTTTCAAGACTGCATGTAATATTCAATGTTTTACAACATGATTTCTAAATTTCACGTGTAGTTTCTAGGTTTTTACTTTTATAAATATTAAAAAATATATATACACGTTTTTAAAACGTGTATATGTTTTTTAATATAAATAATTACATTACTATAATTAAAACATTTGAAACAATTTAGAAATTTATTTCATTAAAAATAAACATTGCTTATCTTGTTATACGTATTGAATAGCCTTTAACATATTTATACCAAAGTAATTATCTGTTTATAACCATTAGAATTTTACTTTTTCTTCTTTTTCAAATTAAAAGGATTGTAAACTATGTCAATAAGGAAAGGCATTTTGCGATATTAAAATAATCCAATCGGATTAACTTTCTTTTATTATAAACTTACAGAAAAAAATTACTTTCGAGAGGCTTAAGTATTAGATAAGCAATATACTGCAAAATTTATTTAAAACAATTTTTTATCATATTAGCGTATTATGTTGTGTGTGTGAATGACTATATTCATAAGGAAAAAAATTATATCTTAGTGCCTATTGGACTTTACAAATGTTTACAATACAATGACTACTTATTTTTAAGTGATTTGCAGAAGTAACGCCTCTCTTTAAATTAAATATGCGTAATCTTAGTGAAAGCGTTCGCATTAAAAAAATTATTAAAATCAATACAATGAAATATAAAAGTTTAAAGAACTTTTTGCTGTTTTATATTCGTAAATAAAACAAAATTATTGATATTAAAAATGACAAATTATATATTATAGTATATTAAAATTGATTTTTGGTTTAAAATAAGAAGGTCCAATATATCAATTATCATTGAATGACAATGCATTTTACATGCAATCTGGAAAATAATTACTTTAAAAGATAGTGTCGCAATCTGGCTTCGACTGATTTTAACTTTAATCTTATAATGAACGGTTATTACATTAAGAACCTTTAGTCGCGATCAATTTTTACTCTGCCGAAAAAGGGCCAAATCTAAACGAACGCATAATAATCTATAATTATCATGCACTTACACTTTTATTATTAACAAACACACTTTACACACACGTGGACGCTCGTATGCGCGAACAGTAAGGATATGCGAAAGGTAGTAAAGAGTAAAGTAATATTAAAGAGAAGATTGTATATGCACTATAAGTAGATAACAGAAATCGCAAGGCCTCTATAAGTAACTGTTGCTTTTGTATGTGAAACATGCTTCGACAAAAACCCTTTTATTTTTATGAGAGTTTGCTTTTTGGTAATTTTATTATAATCCAATACTTATAAGATTAATACTATGATTATTTAATATATGAAGATATTAAATATATAAATATATATATAGAAAGAGAGAGAGAGAGAGAGAGAGAGAGAGAGAAAGAAAAAGAGACATTATATATATTATATATATTAATTACGAATTATTACGCGAGTAATTCTTAAAAAGACGCGACGCGATCATAACAGAGCAAATATAATTATTATTACTTAGTGTATGGGATGTTAAAATTTGTTTAGACCTTTAAGTACAATTTGTACAATTTGTTTAGATAACCGTTAAGTTAATGTAGTCATTGCGATGTACAGGTTGTCTGCAAAAGTGTCGCAAGCAAATATGTCAGGTACAAAGATAAAGTGAAACAAAGATAGGTACAAAGTGTATAATATTTATGATACGTATGTACGAAGAATCACAAAGTATAGTATTCTTAAATGATATATCTTATACCGGACAGGACAGCATCTTTTCATGATAAATTCTTACAAAGTACGTCCTTATACTGAATACAGAAATATTCTTCTAATTGAAATATATTTGTTATGGAACTTTTTTGCCGAACATCCTGTACAGGTGACTTGGACGTCACACGATTAAGATTTCTTTCTTGGATCGAGTCATAAATAATTTCTACTAAATATTTATTTTTTCGGAAAATCCTTCAAATAAATTATGTAGCGATTGACTTTTGTTTTTTTATCAGAGCAGATAAACATTTCTTCTTTTAAAACTTGAAGCTGAACAATAGTATCCTGCGATCCTAACGGTTGAAGATTCATTATTGAAAAGAAGAAGAAACCCTTGAAGTATGATTTCAAGAAAGATAGATTGAAAAAACTTAAAAGTGCCACATGATACTTTGGAAATTCAAATACAGAAAAGGGATAAAGTAACGTCTGAAAAATATACTATATGTATAGCACATGTGATAACCTTGACCAGCGTGGAATCAGTTTTCACGGTTTCTTTTCAGAGATATAATTTCACAAAGTCAACAATGGCTGCTTTCCTTTTAGGAGACACAGTTGACACAAATCGACACAAGTGTCGTTCTATCTTTGTCACTCTCTGAATATCAAGAAGGCTAGAACGACGCTGTGATAACTGTACAAAGAATCAAAGCCCATGTCATACAATCCGTCTACATAGCATAGCAGCGTGTGCAAAGTATCAAAAAAGCGCGTATGCAGATACACAAGATACATGATGTATTTATACTTATCACATTGCAGCCAAAAATGAAATTTCGATAATATTCTCTTGCTTCCTGGAGTCATTCCTGTTCGATGATTTGGTGCTGCAGGCGATCTCTTTCATCCTGGATCTCGTGATCTGCGGCGATTGACGCTTCGATTTGTCGCCGTTACTGCGAAGCTCCCCCTCCTTCAGAGAAACTGACTACTTTTGCTCCAGGAAGCGTAGAATATGATTTCGCGCCTTACGCATCTCCAATCTATCGAGGATGTTGACCGCAGCTGCGGCTAAAATCGCGTCGTCCTCTAATATTACGATTATCCACCTACAACAAAAAATCAATCTTATTCAACGTCTTGTTGGCACACGAGACGCTTAATTAATGTAGATATTACCTCGTACCGACTAATTCTCCGAGTTTTTCAGAGATTATTCTGGTTCACAAGTTTTGCATTCTACACATGGTCAAAGTATAAAAGCGACCCATGACATCGGCGTAACAGATGAAATACAATGTCTGCTCCGTTGCTCTCATTGTTGTCGTCATTACCTTTCTTTCTCGTTCATGATCCCGAAAAATGCAGACGAAACTTAGAACTCGTGATTTTATTGTCAGAACCATCAAAACTGGTCAAAATTGCCGTCTGGAAAATATCCAATACTCATTTTCCTTTTCTTACTGTCATCAATTCTGAAGCGCTTTTTATGCGCATAACAAGTAGGTATTTTATAATATTTTTCAGAGAGTAATATGTTTTCAAGCAAATTTACGTTTCGAAAATAATTTTTAAATCAATGTAAATAAAAATCTGTCGAGTTATTCACATACAATAAAAGACACATAACTGACAACTTTTTTTTTGTCTATGTAGGCCTCGGTTGGAGGCTAGAAAATAGTGTCTTTTATCGCTCCTTGCAGTACTTTGACACATGTTATTCTACTGTTTTATCTTCTGCGATTAATTTATATAATTTTTCCAGTTCTAATAAAGAGTGACTTCCAAAAAAGGGAGGTTTTTTCGCCCATTTTTCTGGTTCTCAATTTTTGGACTGAACTGTGCCAAATGATACCCTACAATGAAATATTAATTACAAAGAAGTTTCAGGTTGAGGTGACAATTGTTATCATAGCTGGAGGAGGAGGGAGTCACGTATTACGTCTATGCGAAAATCTGTTTTCTTTTACATTTCCAGCTCTGATAATTGTAATTTCTAATCTTTGTAATATTTCAATATAAGGTAAAATTTAGCACACAGTTCAGTTCCAAAATTGAGGGCTTAAAAAACGGGCAATTTTTAAGGTCACTCTTTATAAATGATGTTGAATATCGTCTAATCTTGATTCTTGATAATCTACCAGACATCGAGCTCCCAATCTATACCTCTCTCCCTATAACTGACAACTGAAGTTTTGGGTGTGTAGTCTGAAAGGTGCTTTGAAAGCGCTTTGCACGCGCTGTTATGCGACTTGGGCTATGTAAAAATAAAGGAAAAAGATAGAAGTTACTTGTGACTCGACCTAATATGTAGTATTGGCTTATCGTACTAGTAGCGTTTTTCATTGGCAGAACTAGTGCGCATTCAGTGCATTTTAAAGCCGTTGTACAAAAATCGATGTAAAAATGTACGTTTAATAACAATATAGAAACGAATTAAACCGCAAAATATTCAATACATTTTATTGTGCTATTTGATAAAATACACATTGGACATTTTATCAATTGAGATATCTCACTTTTAGATTTTTATTATATACAATATATAGTATACAATAGCATTAATGCTAAGTGCGCACTAGTTTTGCTAATGAAAAACGCTGTAAGAGAAAGGAGTGTTTTTGTATTATTACATGTCCGTTACGATGTTATTACATATTGACGTTGAAGGAAAACTTACGTTAATTAGATAGAAAATAAACTAGGCGGTTGCGACGACTGGTAAAGAGAATGGACAAATGGCGTCATACTTGACCGAAGAAATTGATTATAAATTTATCCGATGCGATACTACAATTTCGTAGATTTATTATACGTATATCATAAATGAAACACAATGACGGGCGATATTAACGATACAGCGAGACAATCTGGTATCATCGGTGCACACTCAATAGTACAACTGTGCAATCTCTAAACTTGTAATCGAAATTGCAATTACATAGATAAATATAAAGTAAAATCACATTCTCAATTCGATATCTAAATATTCTAAATATATGACTGCTGACAAAATTGACGACGAAATGTTTCGAATCTCGATGTCCAAGTCACACATACACAACACATGCACACAAGCGCGTTTACATTTTTAGAGTATTTTTCTATTGCGCTAGCCTCAATATTTACCGAAACATAGCGAGATTCGTTCATTCTGCACGTTGAATAATTAGTTAGATGCGTTGAAAACTAATGTTGTATACATATATATATATACAAACTTCCAATACTTTCGCACGAGCAACTCATATTTTCGTACGTTGTATTATTCTTTTATATTTCTTTTCTTTTTTTTATAATTTTATACTTTGTATAGAAAACCATTTGCGTTTTTTGCGCGATCGTATCTGTAATAATAGACGCGCGTTTTGTGGCAGCCATCGGTCTTTCGACTGAGTTTCTGAGGTATCTCCATTACCTTGACGAAGGGCGAGAATCTGCTATTCTGCTTGATATTAGATTGCGTTGACAAGAGAAACGATTCGTGACTTATTAAAGAGTGTTCATTGTATAACGAGTACATGTTACTACGAAAAAAAAAATGTAAAGTCTTGACTCTTTTTATAGCACATTTTTATAGTGAATCTCAATTATTTCATAATATGTAGTGTTCATTCGATTAGCTCAGTCGCATCATATGACATCATATTGACTGTCTTATTGTTAAGTGATGGTGGAACAAAGCGAGGATAATCCCATCAAATTGTCGATAATTAGCGTTCCTATTAACGTGTTTCTTAACTTTCCGACTTCAGTATCGTCAAACATTCATTACTTAAAGGTGTTATCGCCGTTCCAGAACAATTGCTATAAAAAGAGCCAATGCAGAACAATGAATCTCAATAATGTAACTCAACGTGTGCTCGTTTACCGTGCGAATCCTTCATTGTATATTACGCTGATATTACTGATGTGCCGATGTATTTTTCGCCGTTTATATATTATATACGCAGCTATAAAGAATGCATTGATACATTCTTGCATCGGCATCACGGTTTTAGATAATTTTTCTACGAAATAAAAAAAATCCGCAAAAAAGACAGTCCAGAAATACGGATGATGCGCAGGGCAGTCCATCCACTCGTGGTGCTTTGAATGATCAAACATGTATCGGAAATTAACTTATGCAGAAGTTGCAAGCAATATAAAAAGGCACAGCATGGCCTAATTTTCATTGTTAATATTTTCGTCCGCACGCAAGAGAGTTACCATATAAACGCGCGCGCGATCGGGGATGGGCCACTCTGCACTGAATTCTCTCATCTTCTCCTTGTAAAGCAACGAGATCACTACGTTGTATAATAATTAAGCGAATAATTGTCTCTTAATCTTTAAGTTATTCATTCACGAACGCGATCGCATTGATACGCATCCCGATATTTGCCCGCATAACTCCCATGTTAGTAAAGTAAAAAGAAAGAGAATAAAAACCAAGGAAATTCACAAAAAAATGAGTACGACAGTTTAGTTTACCCGTCGATATACGTCCAATAGTTTTAGCCGATGGTGATTCCGATTAGTTACTCCTATCCGGTACACACACACACACACACACACACACACACACACACACACACACACACACACACACACACACAATAAAACTGAATTTATAAGTTATCGCTATAAGCGGGAAGCACAGACTCTTGCATAACGCATAATACATAAGGCATAAAAAATTCAATCGATCAGAGTCCTTTATTTCATGGAAAAGAAGGAAACGAAGGACTTTGATTGGTTCATTTTCTTGTGCATAACGCATAACGCGTAATGCATAATAAAATGAACCAATCAGAGTCCTTCGTTTCCTTCCTTTCCATGAACTAAAGAACTCTGGTTGAATTTCTTACACCTTATGTATTATGCGTTATGCAAGAGTCTGTGCTCTCCGTCTAAGACGTTAATTCGCGCATTTAAAATTATTAAAATTATTATTTTTGAAATTACTAAACATTATTTAGTTATATACAATAAGAACGAAAAAAAATTTTACGTTGCACTTCTCATCTTGTATTTCGCATTTTATTCTCATAGAAAGTTTAGACAGCACTTTTCTTTCAAGTTTTATTTATTTATTCTCGAGGGGACAACAATACATTATTCTCTCTCTTAAGAATAGAACAATCGTCAGATTTAATTCTACTAAACGAACACAGAAATCGAGCAAGATGTGACCGATAATACGATTATGCCGGACAGGTTTTTTGCATCCGTATTCTCGATCTGAGCTACTACGAGTTCTTTCTTCCTCTCCCTCGTCGCGGTTACAGACGAATAAAAGATCGAGGGAGAATAAAGGGAGGCACAATCCAAGCCGCGTCCACAGAAATATAGCCGTGCTAAACGAACGCATGCATCGAACGGTAACTTCGATCGCTCGGCCACAATATTATTTAGCATCGAACAAAAATATCTTAAAGCTTGCGAATCTATCATTGTCTGAGATTCAATATGTGAAAATTATCTAATTTAAAAAAGAAAAATGTTTATCTATCTATAGAAATACATCATCTACATTAAGCTATAATAAAAATAATTGAAAAAATAAATACAACCAACGGTTGAAATTAAAAAAAAATCTGATATACTAAATGAAAAGTATTCTATAGTTCTTTCATGGGGGTTGTTATAATTTTGGTATATATATATATACTTAATATTAATATAGTTCATATTGTACATTTGATACAAAACACTAAACATATCTTGATTCTAAACTGTTAGAAATTTTATTATGAATTTAAGTAACATGTAAAAGAAGTTTGTGAATATGAGGTAACTGAAAAGTAATGAATGATTTAACTAAAATCTAAGTTACAATAGTCTTAAATGTAATAAATGTGTGCATTAAATTTCATGCAAATCTACATAAAATTTTATGGAAAGTATATTAAAGTTCATGAAATTTTATGAAAAATACATTAAATTTTATGCACACAAATATATTTTTCAGTTACAAATGCATTAAATTTAATGTAATGTTGTGAAGTTAAATTCAACTTATGTAACTTAAAAGTATATTATATTTCATGATATTTTTAACAGTATACATATTATGATGACTATGATGAATTTTGAAAAAAATGTGAATATTCTCATTAAGATAAGATCGGTAAAAAATTTTAACTGAAGAATCCACATTTCAAGAGAGGTATGTTCAGTGAAAGGCAGGCACACTTTGCCAACAAAAATTTTTGGAACAATCGGAAATACAGCGAAACTAATAAAGTATACTACACAAAACAATATCTAAAATTAATAAGAAGAAGGTAATCGACAAAAACAGCCTTTTAATTCAGTATATAATATATAAATAAGCAAATATCAACGATCTTGCTATAGTCATCTTCGTTCGGATCTTCAAAAGAAATTCGTAACAATAATACGATTTGATCGTTTTCGTGAATCTATGTCTGTCACGCGGAAAGAGTCCATGATGGTAAAACGTACGATTGATCTCCGATCCCATACGCGTTATACATGGGATTCGCGAACTGGAAAGCGACGAGCTATAAGAGCGTCCGCAAGCAGGCAAGCAGGCAGGCAGGCAGCGCCGGTTTATTCCTGATCGAATGTTTTTGCACGGCCGCCGCAATCCTAATTGAATTCGCTGTCGGTCGTTCTCGCGGAGCTGCACCGAGAGCGGTGCGTAGAATCACGCGCCGTACATACACGAATTTACGTCATATAATTGTGTGACAGAAAAACAGATCAAAACGAGAATGTAGTGTTATTCGAAATTCAGCTCCTTTCTCTTTTTTGTTTGTATAAGCGATGAAAATATCCTAAGTACATTCTCGCCATTCAAAAGGATTAGAAGGTACCAGACTATCTCAAATTTTTTGCTAGACTTTTTTGCAGACGCGATACTTACGAAGATGATATCAAATATTTTATGACAATAAAATTATTTAGAAATATTTTTATGCAATATCTCTGCTTGAAAATCATAACATGGCTGCTAATAGCAAAACAAGTCATTATAATATCAAAATGATGTCAAAATAACTCCAAAATGATCATTAAAAGTCATTTTTTAATCATTTCCGATTCATTTTAATGTCATTTTGACGTTATCATGACTTGTTCTGGGTGGGACATAAAACTTATATACTTTTTCATATAATTATTTAACGGAAAGTCGAACGAGAGCAAACATTAGGCTGTTCATACATAATGCTGTTCTTTTAATTTAATTTTTTTTTATAGGAGAAATAAACAGGTACTCATAAATTCCTGCGGTTTGAAAGATTGATTGGAAAAAAACAGATCGTCTAGATTTTTTGCAAATAATAATCACAAAGATAATATCGAAAGTTTTACGAAGGTAAAATTATTTTAAAATATATCTGCGATAGAGCTCTTTGCTTGATATAGAAAATCATAACATCAATATTAAATTTATGCTTTATATTATATAATTTCCAATTGAAAGATAAACGAAAGCAAACACAGTCATTTTAAATTTAATTTTTTTTTAAAGGAACCGAAATATACTTTTAAGTTCCTGTGATTTGAGAGACAGGATGATTAGAGGATACTAGGACGTTTTAAATTATCCATAAGTGGTAATATCGTAAAGATGATATCGAATGTTTTACGAAGATAAAACTATTTTAAAATATATCTGTGCGATATCTATTTGCTAGATATAGAACATTCTATCAATATAAACAACTTATATTTCTCCATAAAACTGTCCGACTGAAAAACGAATAAAAGCAAAAAATAATGCGATTCAAAGTTTAATTTTTTTCAAAAATGAAAATATGCTTCTAGATTCTCCAGATTTAATGGGCTAATTACAAGATAAATTTTAAAAGAGCTTAGATTTTTGTTGTAAATTATTTTACAAGTGATAGTCGCAAAGACAGCGTCGAATGTTTCATATGGATGAAATTTTGGAGTTACAACGTTTCAGAACGTGGTTCAAAAATTTGCGACGGTTCGAGGTCTCTTCGGAATATTCACGGTCGTAGTGCATGTACCGGAAGAAGAAAGACGAAGCAGGAAGAAGACGAAAGATGAGAGAGACGGAAACCTCAGCCGCGTAGGATAACAATGGACCACTTGTTAGATAGCCCATCCCTCGACATCGGGGATACAACGGATACTATTGGTTATTCATTGGGGCCTCTCTTAAAGCCGGTTATCTTGCCAGATCAGTTTAGAAATAGATCTGATCCAGTTATTTCCGATTATCGATGACTGCAAACTTTATTATCAATCTCAAGAAGCTCTTCGCTCCGTCGTAAATTTTTCACGTGTTTACGCTGCAAATAGGATTACTGCGAATCATAAATTCGTGAGAATATCATTGAATATATAATGTAATGGCAGAAGAAATATAATAAAAATAAAAAATTAATAACTCTCAAACACACACAAGAAAAATATGTATGTAAAATTAAAATGATATTATATATTAAAGAAACGTTTTGCCCCTATTATATTCAATTGTATTCAATGTTCAAATAATATATCTACTTACTATTTTCTTCATCTTTTATTTTTATAACTTAAATCAATCTTTTATATGCAGAAATGTTTACAATAATTTAAACATCGAACAGAATAATGATGCGCATGACGTAGCGGATTTACGACACGGAAGTAAAATTCAATTGTCGACGGGATGAGGAATGGAAGAGAAGGGAAACACAAGAGATGAGCAGGAGACAGGAGAAACGACAGAGAACCGGCACGATCGGACGAAAGATGTTAAAAAACTGGTTCCCTCCATCGAGATTTCTTATCACTTTTTTTAGTTAATTCGAATTTTGATTCTTGTGTATCTGTACGTATACTACTTTTGACAAATTTGTTTTGGACGATTTCTGAAGATTAAAAGGAATTAATCAATATGTAGATGTTATGTAAATAGCTACGAATAATGTAAATGTGTGACTTCATAAATATACTTATTAAAAAAAAAAAACAGATCATGTTATAAATTGTAACGTTACAATGGCCCGTTTTTCTTTTTTTTTTGGCGGAATAAATAAATATAGTATATTTTTCCACACAATTCGATTCATTGTAGGGAAGAAAGAAAAACGAGTGAAATCAGGTAGATATTCCGAAGGGAAAGGAAAAACGTCAAATTAAGAAATTATATAACAAAAATTATATAACAATTTAATTTAAAAATGAACGTGTAATATATTTAAACAAATTTTTTAAATTGTATTTTTAAAATTGTGTGCGCGCAGTGGCTAAATATCTGAATTAACACAAATATATTTAAAAAAAACTTGTATACAGTAAACGCTCCATAAAATCTTTCATATCGGAGATTGGTTTAATTTGAAATGAATATTCGATTTACTTTCAAACTTACCACTTTCATTCCTTGCTTTTCGCATTTACGATCTTCATTAATCTTTCCCTAATATTAATTATAATTAACAAAATTAATCAATGAAAAAATTTAATATTAATTAGCGATGTTAATTTATATATCAATAAAACTCATTTAAACGATCAGTTATAGTTTACGTCGGAATTCAGGACAGAACCTTAATTACAAATTTATAAATTATTTACAATTTATAAATTATTTACAATTTTATATACATCGTGTAGTACAACAAACATTGAAAGAATTAAAATGCACATATACATGTATATTGCAAATGTATATTTTAAAAAAATACACGGCAGATAAAATTATAAATAGCATTCTATTTTGAATTCCGTCGCAAATTATAGATCGTCTAAATTGAGTTTAAGACATTAAAATAAAAAGCATACGTGTGCGCGCGCGCGCGAGAGAGAGAGAGAGAGAGA